CTGGAGTCAATCATTCAGAGTGTGCATCAAGCTCTCTCAAGCCCACGGGAGCGTTACAAAGTGACAATAACCCTTGTTTCGACTAACGTGCAAGATTCACGAACGGCTCAATGCTTTTGTTGTGAAGAGGTCACTAGCCACATGGAAACCTTTCACATCATCAATTCCCCACTGATCGTCAACAATCGTCAGTTCGATGAAGCAGTGGTTAGTTAATTGCAATTGATAATCTTTGCGACTCGTTTCGGATTGTTAACCTCAGGACGCTCAGCGAATTCCAAGCGTCACAATTTGTGTTACACATTCTGTGCCTTCCTAACAATGCGTCTGTTTGGTGACCAACGTTCGTATTCACTCATTGGTCTCTAACTGAATTTTGGTTCATATTGATTGATGAATCGAACTGATCTGATTTAAAGTGGCTTGCCCTTGATCACATTACCCTACCACCGTTAGCATGTTTAGCGTAAGCAATTTTGAGATGATACGACACAACGATACTCATGAATTCATTATATGAGGCTTTTCATTTGGCATTTCAACTCAGAATGGTTGGGACTTCAACCAGATCAATGATTCAGCGGATGAGACTGTTGATTGGTTATCTGGGCACGTATGTCTAGATTGATTCGGGTAAAATGAAAACAACTAGTCTTTTGTTCCATAGCTGTAACGTACTATTTATTTTTACGTATTTATAAACACTGATGTAGATAACAGAACGCGGGCGGTTTTGGCCAAATATAGCTCCAATGGGATCTATCTCGAATATCTGTCCTTGAACAGCTCACAGGTGAGGTGTGAGCAAAACAAATAAATGCTAATCAATATTCTCAGCGCTAGTATGGATGGAAAAGAATATATTTTGAGCGAGGCAATGGTAGATCTCGCCTTTTCAAAGATTCACAACCATAGTGTGGTGATCAGATATCCTTTCGGATTAATCTTTCTTAGTGTTATTTGCATATGAATTAGAAACACTACAAATGCAATTTTTTACAAACAATTACAAGTATTGTAGGAATGCTTGTAATTATGTTATTAATTTTGTGACCAAGAGGAAACAACTACAAAGAGTGTTTCACTTCGGTACTGCAGACAAACACTGGTGAATAAATGGTTTCGTGGAATAATGGATGTCTGACCAATCTTGGTAATAGGTCAGTTAGTCGATCGGGACACATGAATTCAAGGTGAATCAAACTAACCGAGATAGCACGGAAATTCATTGCTAATGGTGTTGCATAACAAACAAATCAAATATGTAAATAATATTTTTTGCTTTAAGATCACTCGTTTTACAAGGACACTGGGCGGTGCCTTGAAGCTGAATGAAGTGTGCTCCATATTCCACAGCCACTGAAAGAAGATTTTACGTGAAGTTGTGTTGTATGAAACTAGTGAAGCGTTCAGTGAAACGGCGTTCCAAGCTGAGTTCAAATCCAAGCAGCCAGCAATTCTATTTATGTATATAAACAACTGCGCGATCGTTACGTAGTAGGACTCTGTCAAGGGTCAGTTTTGTTCAGATGGCCATTGGATCGACATTTCGATATTGTGAAACCAATGTAGAACGTTCTATCCAATTGGGAAGTTTCATATGTTTTGTTAAGATCAACGACCCTTGGAAATTTATCAGTGATCATTTGAATCTATTCAATGGTGGCTATCATTTGATTAATTGATGCCTGGTAATGCATATTTTGAGGTTATTAAGCGAATTAATATATTCACTGAAAATCCCCATAGTGACATTGGCAGAGCAACACGACTGGTGAACAAGATCGTTTTCTTGAAGAATCAAAGAACATAACCCGGCTTTGTTAAACACTAGAACCACAAGGACTATTTCCAGTTCAGTTACAGTGAAGCTCGTGGACACTGGGCACCACCTAAATCAAGATGCATTCAAAACAGTCTACAAGGTACCCCAACCCCCCCCTCCCACAACGCCAATTTGCAGAAGTAATAGCAACAGAGCCCTTGCAATCAACTGTGTTCGTAAAAACAGTTTGTCAAAGCTCTCCAGCCCAGGTCCATCACAGAACAGTATTTCACCCATGTATCTTTGAAGTAAACCGAAAGTACCTTACCGCACCTATCTTGTTTCATACCTCTGATGAATAGCTATTTGTTTTACGTTCTTCCCAATTACTCAACACCACATCCATATCGTCCAATCAAAGCACATTCATTTTTTTCATCAAAACAGAAAGAAGACAAACGGCGCGAGATGTTGAGATTGAGTTTAATCTTCTCAGTCGCTGACTTAAAACAAACAGGCACATTCATTCTGACGATATTTGTTGCATATATATATTCCATCAACCGCACAGAATTCCATCTCATGTGGCACAATTTGAGGTCGGTCTTCGCTGAGTATACTACTGCATCACACGAAATTTAATTTCAACATTCTATTTACTAGTTTAGTGAAGTAAAACTTACCGTAGCCTTAAGAGCTTGAGCACTAAACTACAGTTTCATCTATCAAACACAGACCAATTCATCAGAATTATATTTGGATTACGTTTTTCACACTGGCCTGAAAATTGGTTGCTCTTTGGTTCATTTAGGAAAACAAATTGGCTATTATCATCGCTTGCTTCTGAGGTTTCCAACAATTTAGTGCAGTAAACTGTGCAGATTTACTCTCACCGAAAAGGTTTTTGATTGTCTCTCATCGATACATTTTCGTTGCGTCTTCTTACGTATCCTCAAATGTCACTTTCGTAGTGTTAAGGATATTTTCAATGTAAGACAATTTGGAAACAGTGAAAACAATCAATATTTTTATGCAAACTCATTGAGTGCAAGACGATTCAAAAATTGTGGCATTGTCAAAAATATAGAAAACAATGATGGAATATACTTTCTGTGCCCGGTTGTGTAGTATACTCGTACTTTTATTATGCTTTTCACCTCTCAGAAGCAGCCTACGTGATATAGGCACTAAGATTCAGTGAATACTCAAAAATCAGTTTAAATACGAACATACAGTTACATTTAAAGGTTTGTTCAGTAGCTTATTCGTTGCTTGAGCATTAGGTCAGGTTATCCCTCAAATGTTACTCCATATGTGAATATTCAGTACTGTTGTAAAAAATTTCGAATATCAACATTCCAAATCTTTAAAAATCACATCATTCTTAAAGATTCAATTCTTATATCAATGAGTGGAAACAAGTAGTCCTATATGTACACGTCTTCAAACATCATGTTTACGCTGGATCACAGCATCATCTCTATAAACGTATGCCATCTGACTTCTTGAAAACGTTTATTTGGTCACCAAATCACAGTCATCACTGTCAGTCAGGTTTCCCCGTTAATTTCAAAAATTCAAAATTCAAATTATTTTCGACTAACATGCAAATCAGGTTATGCTTTTGACTAATTAGATAACTAGCAAATAACTTTCTCGAACATGTACTCGTTCGCGAAGTCTTGACGGATTCCTGATGAGTGCGAACAGTTTACGTCGTCCAACAAATCATGTGCGCAAAAGTTGAGTCTGCTCACTCGATTCGTGAACTACCACACATAGGAACCCTGTGAGTCCTTGGGGGTGGGTGGGATCGCATGAAGAGGGTCAGCATTAGTCACAAAAAGATGATCTGTTCACCTCATGAATCTTCACACCCACTTCCGTGACAGCTGTGTGCACATCATGATCGCCTTTGTTACCCGACAACTTTAGATGACGTGAAAGCATTTTGTCACTCTAACCAATTATTTTATGTATTCACCAATGGCAGATGATTCTCCTTACGTGACAGTTAGGCCTGCAGTGACATTTCGATGTATGTTGAATGATGCATCAGGCACATTCTCTCCTCAGTTGCAGGATTACAGTTGATCTGTTTGACTACTAGGGAATAATAGTGAAGCGATCCATGTCAATTGTGACATGATTTCAAGTGGATTTCAACTGAGAAATATTGTTTATGGTGTTGAGAAACTGCCTTCAATGGCTTCGAAATTTCGATATGGTATTCGCTATTGTTTGCGGATTTTATGCCACAAACCCTCGTGTCTTAACCTATCTGAGAACTCTGTTTGGTGGAATGGAACATGATTTAAGATCAAGATACGAGTCGTTCCAACCCCCAGACCGATGCACAATCGATTGTGTGTTTCAAATTCACAAACCCAAAACTTGATTTACGGTGACGTGACGTACCGACAACATGTGTCAATCTATGCGAAAAAAGGTATTTATGTGAAGTCCAGAACTGCAACTTCATGTCAAATTTGAATAACACCTGAATGTGTACTGTCGGATCTAGTTGAAATAGCCCGACTGATCACAGCTCTCATTTTCTTATTAATGTGATGCGTTATCTGAGGCACCTGAGTGTTCACCTCGATTCAGCATGTCCTTCTTTAATCAACTTACCTAACAGGATAAATTAGTGAAAATAATAGAGGAAAAATAATGGGAAAATAGTTTTATTTAAATATGCACTTTGCCTGTTAGTAACTAAATATCTCACAAAATAGTGGATAGTAGTATGTGGGTAATAACTAAGCTGACCGAAGTAGGGCACCGCATGAGATGACGTCACATGTGAGAGAGAGGTGTGTTGTAAACAATGAGATCTGGAACATTTCGACTGGAAGAAATCTACCGGCATGAGTGAACGGAAGTGTTCTTTTGTGTGAAAGAAACAAAAAAACAAAACAATCGATGGGATTCGGTGCAGAGATGGTAGTGGTAGGTAATAAGTAGTGCTGACAAGTTCGGACCAGGACAGAAATGCCATGTGGACGTATAATCAAGGTTCATCTTTGTGAAAAACATAAAAGTAGAAGGAGGAATGGAAAAGATAGACAAAATCCTTAAAATATTTTGTTTTACCGGATCTTTGAGCGAGACGGGTTGATGCGAATGAAATGGTCCACCGATGTTTCCTTCGAATAGAAGAATGGTTAGATGAATGTGAAAATGATAATGATCGGGTTCGGAAAAGAAGCGTCTGAATTCTACCGACAGTGCATTACGTATAACGATTTTCCGGTTTCTCAAACTCCTCATCTTCCGGCTTCACATCGGTCAGTTCGCATTGTGAAACACTTGGTTCACTGAACGTTCTCTCATCCCTTTTACCCAAAAAGTCCGTCAGGTTCTCGCCACACGTGTCTGGAAGATGAGACAGAGCGAACACCACCAGGATTAGAATAGCCGAATAGATGACCATTGGGGATCCGTGACTTAAACTCTCGTCCAAATCGTTTATAAAAGGACAAATGATGGAGCCAATCCGAGAGATGGCAAACACCACCCCAAATGCGTAACTGCGAATCTCGGACGGGTAGAGTTCGGCCACATAGACATAGATCATGCACACGGATGTGGTGACGAGAACCAATCCGATATTGGAACAGATAGTAAGCACCAAGTCGGCCGGATGGGTCACGACAAAGCTGTTTAGCAGACAGAGAATGAGGAAAACTCCGGCAAAACTCAGCACTGCAAGTAATGGCTGCTTTCGGGATGTGACGTATCGATAGATCA